GCGGAGGAGGGTGGGTCACAGTGCCGCCCCCGCTCGGTGTTCGAGGAGCGCGCGTGGCGACGGCGGTGCTCGGTTTCTCCCGGCATAAATCATTTTTTTTGTTGTTTATGAAATCCCGCTCGGATTTCACTTACAGTGTAAACTAAATACGGATTAGAACGCATTTGCCAAAGATTTGGTTGGGGGGGGGGGGTGATGGTAAATAACAAGCCACTTCTAAGCGCGACCTCGCGCTCTCGGATTTGTATTCATTTCGGAGTCTTTGTTAATCAGAAGGAATGGGCTCGCAATGAATTCTTATTCATTATAATAAACCGTAAGTGCCCGTGCTGTGTGCACGCGCCCGTCTCCGGACCGGTGAATTAAACCCTTAATAATCCATTAGGACCGCCAATCAGCCGGATACTGCTTTGGCGAGAGTTGCTCATCGCGGAGGTGGGAACGCGCCCGCTAAGTGTTAAGTCCATTATAACACTTCAATGGTTTACAAACACTTGCTCATGCTTAACCTTTATTGACCTTCCAATTCACCGTACCGTACCCTACTTCTCTCTGCGATCGCCTTTTTTCTTCGGCTTAACGGCCTGGTCTGACCTGGAGGGACGGGGTAACGGAGCGAGGTCACGGAGTTGGGATGGGAGCAGGAGAGCCGGATATTCTCGCTTAGAGGGAGGGCGGGTGCGTGGGGTTGGGGGACGTGGGGTGGTGGGGGGGCCGCGGTAATGAAAGCAAAGGAGGTCAGAGGTCACGTTGTGCGGAGTCAGGAGTCTCGGGCCGAAAGGTGAGATAACCCAGAGTGCCCTCCCCCCCCACCCGTTGCTAGCGCCCGTGAACCCACGGCTGATCGAGCGCGGTGTAAACGCTGAACGTGGGTCGGTTGGCGAAGATCTGTGCAGAGATTGGTTCAGATGAGGTCAGTCCGTGTGTGACGGGTCTTTTGTGGAGAGATGTATGGTGGGCGGAGGTAGTGGTGGGGGCGGGGGAGGATGTTTCAAGCGGTGGCGTTACACGGCGTGACATTTTTGGGAGGTTATTTTTATTTATGATTATTGTGATTTAGTCTTTGCCGTCGTGGTCGGCTGGTCAGGAACGCTGCGCACGTTGTAGAGGGGGCGGAAGTGGGCGGCCGTGCGCGCCCGGGTGACTCGGGACCGATTTCCTTGTCGGGGAACCGAGCCGGGGGACCTTCCTTGAGACGCTGGGTTCAAGCCCCGGGGGAGGACCAATCAAAACAAACGCCGCCCGGGCCGTCCGGGAAAGGCTTGCCACGCGCAGCGACGGCCGCCGAGTTTGATGGGCTCGCCGCGGTCACCGATGGCTGCGCGGGGAAGACTGCCTCTTCGGGATCGGTGTTTTGCGCTCTCGGCTTTTGGTTGAAATTTGTGCGACAGGTCATTTTTTTTTGCACCGCCTCTCGCAAACCGGCCACGCGTGGGCCCCCATGGTCGCCGAGGCGAAAGCTCTGCTGGGATGGAGGGGCCCCGCTTGGGTGCTCACTCCGGCGACGGGAGGGAGGGGAGGTTGATTTCTCGCTGCGGGGCGTGAGGTGCAGAGCCCCCCCTCCTGCCTCGAATGTTTTGCTGCTTCGCCCGGTTTTTTTCCGGTGCTGGTGATCGTAACGTGAAAGGAAAAGGAGCAAGCACGTTCGGAACAGTCGTGCGTACGCGTGGATTCTGTCACGCGTTCCAACGGAGCCTCCGTCTTGGGGTGGTGGGGGGGGTGTTGATTAAGCATGATGACGTCACGTTGCAAGCCGCACGGTAAGGTGACGTCACGCGTCAAATGTGACTACGCGACTGCGGGAGCGGAGGCGATCACGTGACGCGTGACGTAGGGCGTCTTGCCTGGCAGGGCGAATACTTTTAGCGCTGCTTTTTGTTTGGCGCCATTCGCTTTTTTGTTTCGACCCATTGAGTTTGGCCTATATTCTATCGGGCGAGTCCCTAAGTAAGATCACAACTTTATTTTTTTAATTCGTTTATATTTTGACTTAAAATTTCGTGACTGCAGGAATTCATATTCTTGGTTCTTTCGGTAAAGTCACGTAGATAGAAAATAAAAAAAAAATACTAAATAAAAGCAAAAAAACCACGACGCTGCGATTGAAACGTCGTGGGGTTTTTTTGCTTAAATTTTTTATTTATTTTTAATTATTTTTTCTGTCTACGTGACTTTACCGAAAGAACCAATAATATAAATTCGTTCATATGGTGGTCATTTTTTTACGAGCGGTATCACGTCCCTCCCGCCCTCCCGGGCGTAACGGTTCTACCCGCATTGGCTCTTTCAACCTTGACGTGAAAGTCCGCGGATTTACGAATCGAACGCGAGGAGACCGCCGGCCGGGCTTGTTAAGGGGGGGCTGCTGGGAAACGCAAAGCGAAGGGAACGGGCGTGCGTCTGCTTGGGCTACGCGTGCACAGCGTCAGGACAAATAGCACGTCGGGGCATTCATCTCGCGACGCGGCCTGCACGCCATTCCCCGCATCCTGCCGTGTCAGCAGACCCTCCTCACGGATGAAAGCAATATTATTTATTTGAGACTCGGAAATGTCAGCTGTCTGATTGCAGCGAACGTCGAGAGGTCTACCCGGGCACCCATCCTTATTTTATACTTTCCACCGCCTCCGCCACCCACTTTGTAATTTCTCTCCTTTAATTTTCAATACGGGAGCAATTCTGCGGGACGGGAGACGGCGGGCACAACACTTTCTTTTTACGCCCACGAATCCTCAAGTGACACTTAATCTTTTTTGTGTGCCGAGCGCTTGCCGTTGAGTGCGCGGCTGTATTTGCGATTAAGTTTCACGGGGTTAAACCCTTGCGCATTTCCCTTAAATATACACAAAAAACTGAGCTGTCTTCTTTTGGCCTCCTTGTTTAAAAAAAAAAGGAATAAGATCATAAAATGTAAGTAAGCACGTGTCAGATGAGATTACATCTTTATTAATCACAATAAAGTTTACCCGCCGGCGTCTCGGGATTAACTGATGAAAAGGATGAATATTAAACATTCATACGCGTTGGCGTCGCAAACAAAGGAGCTTTTGGCCTGTAGGTCTTCTTTGCATATATTTCACTTTAAAGCTGTGTAAGAGGCGGTTATGAGTTAATGAAATGCAGGGACACATCTCATTTCATCGAATCTAGGGGAAGCGAGCACTAAAACCTCGCGCGCGTGTGTCTTGAGTGTGTGCGCGCGTGTGTGTGTGTCTGTGCGTGTGTGTCTTGAGTGTGTGTGTGTACGTCTGTGCGTGTGTGTCTTGAGTGTGTGTGTGTAAGTCTGTGCGTGTGTGTCTTGAGTGTGTGTGTGTAAGTCTGTGCGTGTGTGTCTTGAGTGTGTGTGTTGGTCTGTGCGTGTGTGTCTTGAGTGTGTGTGTGTCTGTGCGTGTGTCTTGAGTGTGTGTGTGTATGTCTGTGCGTGTGTGTCTTGAGTGTGTGTGTATGTCTGTGCGTGTGTGTCTTTAGTGTGTGTGTCTGTGCGTGTGTGTCTTGAGTGTGTGTGTGTATGTCTGTGCGTGTGTGTCTTGAGTGTGTGTGTGTATGTCTGTGCGTGTGTGTCTTGAGTGTGTGTGTGTGTGTGTAAGTCTGTGCGTGTGTGTCTTGAGTGTGTGTGTGTATGTCTGTGCGTGTGTGTCTTGAGTGTGTGTGTGTATGTCTGTGCGTGTGTGTCTTGAGTGTGTGTGTATGTCTGTGCGTGTGTGTCTTGAGTGTGTGTGTGTATGTCTGTGCGTGTGTGTCTTGAGTGTGTGTGTGTATGTCTGTGCGTGTGTGTCTTGAGTGTGTGTGTGTATGTCTGTGCGTGTGTGTCATTAGTGTGTGTGTGTATGTCTGTGCGTGTGTGTCTTGAGTGTGTGCGTGTGGCGGCAGTGGCAATTCTAGGCTTAGTCTCATGAAAGGTGCTATTTAAGTTTCTACCCTCTGGATGGAAGCGCTATGCCCACCTAACTGCGATGCTCATATGCGCGTGTGTTTTTATTTTATGAACCGAGAAGAAAATTTTAAAAGTTTTCAGAACAGGATATTAAAACTGTTCCCGAACTCGCTTTCACTGCGTCGCTTCTCAATGCAGCGGCTCGGAGTGTTCAATGTGCTTTTTCTTAGATAAACCTAACGGTAGTTGGTGTGGATTTAAGTGCCGCACCTCGCCTGTGATATCCACCACTCATAGCCCACTTGTTAAAGGCCCACGCTGATCAGGTGCTATCTCAATAGGATGATAGGCATTCCAAACGTATAAACCCATTGGGCAGCGTGAATAACGTTAAGACGATTAAAAGCGTATTTAAATACTGTATTCAAATTGATGGCAACATTACGCCCAGCTTAAATAAGCATTGGGAGCAATGCAGGCCTATACCAGCGGTGGAAATCAATAATAGTTTGAATGCCTTTTGAAAAATCCACTGCTGGATGAAGGCTGCCCTGCGCTGTGTCAGTTCATTTGGGCTGTTTGGCCATACCTCACCATTCTGGTTCGTGCCTGGACTCGAATTTCATCGGGTTCATAGTGCGGTGCGCTAACCACGGCAAAGCTGAAAACGAAGGTTTTGTGTGCTCCGTAGACAAAATAGAATACACTGACCTCTGTTCTGTATCTCCACCTAAAAATATGCTTTCAATCATTCGACCTTTTGGTCTTAAAGAATTAAATAATCCAACAGCATTTGTTTAACCGGACGTGTTGTAGATTGGTTTCGACCTTCTGGCTCGCATCAGCTGAGTTGGATTGGTGCAAAAACTAAACTCCTTATTGACCGTGGGAGGTTAGAAGCGATGCTGACCCGGTCAGTGGAAGGTTAGAAGCGATGCTGACCCGGTCAGAGCTACCCCGGAATGACTCGCCACATCTTCCACCGATTCGCGGGAAGCATTCACAGCATCCAGAAGCTCGAACGTGCCCCGCTCGCTCGCTCGCTCACTCGTCGCAGCGTGCCGGTGCGGCAGTTACCGGTGCCCGAGCCGGGTTACCTGACACGGTCCCTCCGCCCTCTCCGCAGACGAGGTGGCGCCCTACTTCAAGACGGAACCGGCGCCGCTGCAGACGCACCTGGAGGGTAACCGACTGGTGCTCACCTGCCTGGCAGAGGGCAGCTGGCCCCTGGAGTTCAAGTGGCTCTTCAACGGACGTGAGCTCACCGGATACTCCTCCGAATACCGGTACGTCACGTGTGCCCGGCAACGGACGGATTCAGGTGGTTGGGGTTGGGGGGTTGGGAGAGAGGGTGGTTGGGGGGTAGGAGGGAAGGGGGCACTATAATTTCACAATGTCCTCCAACGTGTTTGGGTATTTTATGAGAAATGGCGTGACTTCCACGTTCCTATGGCAGGGGCAAGTATCTTCATAGGACAACCTTTGCTGACTTCCCCACAAAGCAGGAGTCTTGTTAATGGACCTCAGACGGATGGAGGAATGATGGGATGAGTGAAACTCCAACCAGGATTTGAACTCTCAACCTTCCATAAACGTGGACAAATTTCTATCTGAATAGTTGAGTCCTAGTTGGTTGCCATACATACCATGCAGAAGAAGAAAGGCACTTCATGATCATTCTCATGATTACCCACATCTCCAAAGCGTCCAAAACGTACATCTGCCCTAATGGTGCTGGCCAAGTGATATCAGCAATGATTAATCCACTGCTGGATGATGGCTGCCCCCCCCCCCAAGTCGTCACAAGCTCTCGCAGCCCTGTGACGTAAGAGTCCGCGTAGGAGATCAGTCTACAACCTGCTTTAATCGCTCCGTCTCCTCGATGGACGGACCGTCGGATGCATTCCCCAAACAGGGCCGCCACTCCGGCTTTCCCATCATTTGTCTCAGCCACCGGTCGTTTACCCTTCTGTCAGCGCACTCTACCCAAGCCCATACTTACTTTTCTTACTGGCCTACGTAGACAAACTGAAAACATCGATTCGTACATAGTTAATACGATGCGTGTATCGTGAGCTCCAGAACCGATATTGTCCAATCAGTGTAATCCCTCCCCCACCGTTGCTCTCCTTGGAAGTAGTGATTGCAAGGATGAATCGGTGAATTGATTAAAATCTCTTCTTAACGTCCATGATGCATGCGCTGAATCGAGCCGCCAAGAACACGCTCCTGCCTGCACGCACCGCATGAACAAACACACAAAATCCATCTGCGCGTCGTTACCGCGACCCTGAACCGCGACCCTGAACTGCGACCCTGAACTGCAACCCTGAACCTCGACCCTGAACCTCGACCCTGAACCACGACCCTGAACCACGATCCTGAACCGCGACCCTGAACCTCAACCCTGACTCGAGTTCTGGAGGCGGCCACCGTTCGTCGCGCCCGCGATGTACCAAGCGTGGAATGTTCCATCAAAACAAAATTCACCCATCTCATCTGACCTGACATTCAAAGCTGAGTCAAGCGGCCGATGACATTCGCCTGTGGATTCTAGGATTGCAGATTCCACTGGCTTGCGTAATGTTAACCGTAATGCGTGGGGGTTTTAAATGTGTTTTGGGTCGCCAGCCTAATCTCCGAAGTGGCTCTTAAAGAGGCCATGTGGAGAGTGTGTGTGTGTGTGGATGAGTGTGTGTGTGTGGATTAGCGGTGCTCTACCGAGTGTGGTGAAACTGTGCGTATTTCTTCTTTGGGGAAAGTCGGAGCGAGTTGACTGAACGGTGAGGGATTGGAAGAAGCCCTCCTGTGCCTCGCTCCGAGGTTGTTCCCTGCCAAATCTGATCGCGCCTGACTGTGATAGGAACCTGCACGGTAATGGAGTGCAGCTCTTACTGAGACGGGCAAAAAAATTGAAGAGGACACACATATATAGATATAAAGAAGTAAAGCAAATGTTGTACGCTTCTTCTAAAAGCAAATGCTAACGTCAAATACCATTGTTGTAAAATACTAAGTGTGTCAACTTTGGTAGCGGACAAGCTAGACTCAAGAGTTAGTTTCCCCAGAGCTTGAGACAGGCTTTTATTAACTGCCACCTGCGCCTAAATCGGACTGGACACATTCCGGGAAATGTTTTCCCGCAGTCAGATGCAGTTTGCGCAGGCGAAGCAGCGCGAGATTCCATCATCGTAGCCGCTACAGCCGCCGCCGCGTTCCCCATGATTGGAATGCTTATTGCACGGATCGTGCCGCGCAACCACGAACTAATGCCCGCTCACGAGGGGCTCCGCGCGCTCACGCTCGTCGCTTTCACTACAAATTACTTCTGGTAACCTCTGCTCGGCGCGCCCACAGTGGGAATTTTTATTTTTCATTCGCAAACAAGGCGCTGTAATTGACATCGGTTATTACCCCGCGATTCCACATCGCCCGTCTCGTCGAATTAGCACCGGGAGTCCATGAATAATACACAACGCGTCCGCAGCCGAGCCTGCCATTTCCTGCTGCTTTAAATCCGGTCGGAACACAGAGTAGGATGACACGCTCGTTGCGTGCGCGCGTGGCGTGGCGTGGCGGTGCGACGCTGGCATCAGGTGGTCGGTGGCCTCGCTGAAGTGTCGCGATTGCAGCCTAAACGCCGCTGCGTTACCAATGGTGGCGACGCTCGCCGTCCGTGCACGATCGCTGTCCACTGCTCCATTGGCCGATTCGTCTCGAGATCCTGGCACAGCCCCCGTGCTCCCATCGGTCAACGCCTCACTCGCATGCAGTCAGAGGAACGTCACTTACGCTGGCACGGGGTGGGGGGCTGTGCGTTCCGCTGGAGGTGTTCATCTATTGGGGGCTCCCAAGCGAAAGATAAATATTCAAGATAAAGATGCGGTTGCAAGAATTTTTTTTTAGCAAATATATTAAACTCGCCTTTTTCCCGTCCCAGGACGGAAGCTGTAATATGAACGAAAAAATTGAGCATGGTATAATTGTATACTGTGTAAATTTAATGGCAGTGAATCTTGCACGAAAGTATGTCATAAAACACCTCACTTCATGTCACTGTAGCACTGTATATAACTGACCTTCAATTTGTTCAAATTCACTGCTCTGATACTTTCTTTTCTTCTGCTTTCGGTCGCTGGGGTTGAAATAAATTGGAATTCGATACAATATCTGGAAAATCACCGAGAAATGTCTATTTTACCATAATGTAGAAGCATAAATTAGATTTACCTTTTGTCTCAAGTGCTGGAGAAATAAATAAAGACACCAAATCCACTTTGTTGCGTAGAAATATTTATTAGATTCACTTTCAATAAAGAAACGTCAAACTTAAAGCGAATTTGCGAAAAATTTTTATTTCCGCTCAACCTTCTGCGTGAGTGTAAAAATCCACCCGCTCATGAATATTAATGATGGGGTGGGGGGGGGTGCGGCATGTGGAGTGACGTCACGCGCGTTACACACAGACATTCTTGGCTCATTATAGTCGTCAATATACTGTATATACACATATGTTATGTATTATCGGAATGAGAAGCTGTTTATGCTTCCAGCGCTGTCCTACCAGACAGTCTCGTCCCTTCACCTGATGAAGGCCGCTTGTGTTGTGGCCGAAACGTCGTGAGAATATTATTGTGTTATTTTATTTTATCAATTTATTATTTTATTCTCATTCTACGTGACTTTACCGAAAGAACCAAAGAAGATGAATCATTGCAGTCACGAAAGCTTTAAATCGAAACTTTTTATGCTTATTAGGCTCTGGAGTGTGACTGATTTTTGGCAAATCCTCATAAGAATTTGTTGCTGAATCTGGAACCTCTTAAGCTGCTTGGGGCCCTGTGCTATGGCTCAGTTCGCTTATCCCTCGCGCCGCTAACCGTAGGCAGGGGACGGCCAGCACCAGATTCGAATTTCCCGAAAGATGTATTTTAGCTCTGACCGAGTCCGTTTGGCTCGGGCTCGTGAAGAACGTCCACCGCTGCCCGTGCCGTTTCACTTACTCGGCGCTCCGGTGAGCATTAAATACACCAGGGCTGCGCCAGGACATGGCGTGGGCCCGGTGCGAAATGGCGAGCACAAACCGCGTGGAACGTGGCCGGTCGACCCGGCGCCGCGTGTTAATGAGCGTAGGCGGCACGGGCGACGTTCCGTGTTTCAAGTTGACCTTAGCGGTGTTCGGCTTAGCTCACACGCCAGCGCGCACGTGCCTAATTGCGTCTCTCTCAACGGGTGCCGGAATAACGGTGCGGACGAAACATTAATTATTAATGTGTGTTGCGCAGAAAGCCGTAATTGGTTGCAGGCGAACGCCGAGTCTGTCTCGCGCGGAAGCCCGACCCCACGCGATTGCTCCGAGGATGCACACTTTTGAGATCACGTGCCCTTCTCCCCAGGGTTTTTACATTTACATTAAAAAGAAACAACCTCTTTGGTAAAAAAAAAATATATTGAACGGTGCTAATTTTCCCAAGCGGGTACAATTTCATATTCACACATCGAGAGATAAACATTTGGTAAATACAGAGATTAAAAGGCACCAAGCCGAAGGGGATTGTTTCTTGATCTGCGGGCGTCTGTTGAGCGCAGTCTACCTGTAAACATTTCTGAAGGTTAAAACATTTCTCCTTTGCGCACACGGGAAGAGGTGGCTGTCGGAAACAGACGTGTTTATCTGTTTATTAATTAATTTTCATAAACTTTTCAGGGCAAGGTGATTAATGTTAATTTGCGATAACAACTCCTGGCGCCGTGTGAGATCTCCGCATTTGAAGCGGGCGGGTCTGATGCCACGTGATGATATCACTGTGTAACAAAAACATTTTTGATCCTGGGTAGTAAGTGTTATTTTGTAATTGCTTATGCCTAGAAAGTGTAGAAAATGGCTATTATTCCCCACAAACTTTGCTTTTGTAACCAGTACAGTGATATTTGAAATGTACCTATTTTCAATGAGGAAACAGGCGAATTTGTGTCTTTTCGTTCACATGAAGTCAGAAAAAAACAACATGAATAAAAATTAACATGTTTTTATACTAAAGTAATACAAAAATGACTACAAAAGATTTAGACACCAAGGCGCACGACCACAGGCGGGACTGGCCACAGTGGACCGAGTTCTCTGTGGGGAGGAGGAACAACATCAAGTGGGAGCCACTGGTGGGCCCCCGGAAGGTGCTGATGCCACCACTGCACATCAAATTGGGCCTTGTAAAACAATTTGTCAGAGCTGTAGATAAGGAGTCGGCAGCCTCCAAGTACCTTCAAGACTTCTTCCCTAAGCTGT